CCCCCCCCAACATTTGGGCCCCGCACAACAACCGTGCACAAAACTGCATAAACGCGAACAAAAAGATGGAACAAAGACTATACTGATACAAAATCATACGGATTTACATAAACTTTAATTTAAATTTTATCACCAAATATCATTAATTTCTTTTTAATTGTTGAAGAATGTAAATGTTCTTATCAGGGGCCGATTGTATAAAAAAGTGATTAAAGTTAACTATAGTTAGTGGAAACGTAATCCAATAAAAAGCGCGTATTTGAGAGTTAATCACTATTTAACTACAAAATAGTGATTAAAAAAGTGATTAAGAGTTTTATACAACGGCCCCTGGTTATTTCAGCAGCGAACGAAAAAGAGTTAACTACTTTTTAACTGCAGTTAGCGCTAACTACGTTTTTATACAACCGGCCCCAGGACGTTTCACGAGCCAATCATAACATTCGCGTCGGATACATCACGGCCGCTCATGGTGTGAATAGTACATATAATAATAGTAATATATAATATAAGTCATGACCCAAGTTCTAAGTATTTATTCACGGGTTATAACCTGTATGCATTTCATGGTACATCAAAGTAAAAGAAAAGTTTTAAAAACTTCAAATTCAGCAAATTTGCAATTTCAGCTTTATAAAAAAATTCAATTTCAAAAACTTTATTTTTAATTTCATTTTCTTTTTCAGTTTCTATTTTTTTCCCAGTTTTTTTCATTTTCAGTTTTTCAATTACCTTTTATATTTTTCTTTTTTCAATTTCATTTCAAATTTTACTCAACTCTGCACCTTAACCCTGCATCTCCTCCCACGTTTTCTACCAAACCCTGCTAAACTTATCAAGACGTTTCACAAGCCATTCATAACATTCGCGTCCGATACATCACTGCCGCTCATGTTGTGAATAGTACATATACTATTATAATAATAATAATATATAATATAAGTCATATATACTGACCCAAGTTCTAATTATTTATTCGCGGGTTATAACCTGTATGCATTTCACGGTACATCAAAGTAAAAAAAGTTTTAAAAAACTTCAAATTCAGCCAGGGACGCCGGAAAGTCGATAATTGGGGAGGGGGCAGATATTCATATATTCATGTTCTGCATCATTTATCTCCTTTGAAAGCGATTGTTTTTACAGTCTGTGAACATGAATATATGAATATCAGCCCCCCCCCCCCCCCCCCC